AAAATCCAGTCCAAAACACAAATTTAACTTAAAAAACAAAGTATACCACAAACACATAAAGACTATAATTGCCAAGTAAGTGGTATAGAGCTACAAAATACTATTAATTAAAAGACACTGTATGATACATTCAAACAGTAAAGAGTTGGGAACTACTTACTCTATGGAAATCTTTGGGACCTAGTTGGCCATAGAGGATATTTGAGTTATAAAGATGAATGCTAATCATTAAAAGCTTTAATATTAATTCGAGACTTTCTGTAAAACAATAAAAAGGTTTGAGCTAGAAAATTATCTGAAAGAGTGATAGGTTAAGAACATACAACAAATAAGGCAAAATAGGGATACTGATAAAAGAAATGTAAAAAGTCAGTCTACTGAGATTGATACTGTAGTAAAGTAAAAACAAACAGGATTTAATAACAACATTGTGAAAGTGATGAAAGTAAAGATGCCAAAATTATTCAGTACTACCAATGAATAACTATTCCCTCATCCATGCATTACCTAATTCAATAACCACACAAATTAAGTGGTAAGATTTGTCTTTCCGAAAACCCTAAAGTCAATTAGAGCAGAAATCAGTTAAGTCTTGCTCATGACCATATTCAGATGAGCAAATACTTGTGAAATAAATAACTAACCATTAAATACAAGAAGATTTCTATCTTCCATTAGATTATAAAGAATACTGACTCTGGATGGAGCAAAATGTCTGGCAAACTACACTGGATTTCTCATAATGCTAAAGAAACTTAAGAGTTTATGACCCACAAGTTCCCTCCAAGGTTCTAAACATAACGTAGTAAGTATTCATTAATTCTTACTCTTTTCTTAAAAAGAGCTCACTCCTCAAATCATATAAGCTTCAAGCCCAATTGGACATGCTCTTTTTGTAACTACATTTATAAAAATAAAAGCTAATACAAACCTGTAAAGATACATAAAGCAGACAGCTTAAACAGAAGGAAAGCTTCATATTACTAAATCAATAGTAAATTCCAAAAAGGAAATTAAGGAAAGTTATTAACAAGTAGAAGATAAGAAATAGGGTATTATAACAGTTAGGAACCAAAGGAACTCATATGATGAAATCATTAAGAAAAATATTACTGCACTGTAATAAGTATCTAATAAAAGGTTTTCCAAACACATCAAAAGAGATCTAAGTCTTACCAATATGTTTGTTAGAAAGAGAAAGCAGTGTCTACTAAAACCATTCAAAAAGGAACTTGAAACAATTCTTTTAAAGAAATAAGGCTGAGGGTTACAGATGAGAAAGAGGTCAAATTTAAAGCTGGAGATAAAAAGCTACAACCTCCAGCTGCCTCCTTTGATTATTTCCAAATGGCAATCAGAGTCAGCAGCTGTTTTCCTCTTTAACATTTGAAAAGTCTCACTGAAAAGTACAATCAATAAAAGCAGTCTGTAGTTTGGGGTTTGCTCCCCAGCCCCCCCTGACTTCCAGAATAAGTTTGTACTTTGTTGTGAGTTGACCTGCTAACCCAACTCTCTGACAGTTCAAATCCCCAATGGGAGAAAGATGGTCAATCTCCTCCTGTATCATTTACATCCTGGGAAACCTACTAGAGGGTCACCTATAAGTCAGTTCTGAGTCAATGGCAAGGAGTTGAGGTTTGTATTTACTCAAACCTAAAACTAGCCCTGGGGGCCCAGTAAATGACACATCAGTATGTCATCAGTATGGCAGTTCAAATCTACCAGTTACTCAGGAGAAAAACAGGTACTCTCCTCCCATAAATACTTAGTGTTGAAAAACCAATGGAGGTTCTCTAAGAGCGGACTTTAAAACTGTGGGTACATCAACCTAAAAGGAGCCTGATAGCATAATGGTTAAAGAAACTGACTGATAATCAAAAGGACAGAGGTTTAAATCCATTAGGCCTATAAGGGAAGCAATGAGGCCATCCGCTTTATGTTTCCATACTTTGTCCTTGAGACTTGGTATGAGTTGAACTAAACTCAATGGGAGTGTGTTTTGGATTTGCTGCTTTTCTTTTCTGTTTGGGGAAGGGTGGTTTTTTGTTTGTTTCTTTCTTTCTTTTCCATTTCAACCTAAAGAAACCTTGATAATACAGTAGTGAAGCACTCAGCTCCCAAGCAGATTGAGCAGTGTGAATTCATGAGTTGCTTTACATTTTGCAGCAAAAAGGTGTGGAAATTTGTTTCAATAAAGATTTAGCCTTGGAAACACGATGGGACAGTTTGCTTTGTCTTATGGGGTTGCTATGAATTATAAGCCATTCAATGACAATGTGTTTGGGATTTGGTTTTTCCAACCTAAAAATTATATACAATACAAATAGATCAAGGAGTTAGAGATTTGGTGGCTGAGAGAAAGGAAAATAATAGCTTTGAAACAAAAAACTCCTAATCAAAGTGGTAAATTATACATACAATTATACAAAGTAATAAAACATTTGTTGCCAGTTCTACTTAATATTATGATTATAGGTTTAGATTAGTCAAAGATTTTTCGCATATATATTTTTACTTGCAAATAATTTCCTTGTAATTACGTAAGTGTAACTACAGTTGCATTTTGAGTAACACAAGTTTCAGTGGCCTGTATCCACTTACAGATGGATTTTGCTTTCCTTTTGCAGTAAGCCCAAGTGTTGTAAATTGTAAACACCATGTAACACTAGTTAACTCCTATGAGCTACATATGAGTAGCCCACCTTCCAAAAACTGCATTAGAGTCACATGGCATTGTAATCAAACAGCCACAGTGTTTGAGCTCACAGTAAAATGGGGGTGGGGGGGAGAATCTAAGTGAAGCAGCTCAACCTCTTTCTTTTCAAGGGCTAACTGTAATTTATTCACAGATTTCTAAATGTGCAGACATCTATTATCCCCAATCCCTACACTTGTTGAAGGGTCAACTATAATCTCTTATCATAACACTAATTTAACAAGTATATAATGTGTCTTTACTATCAGCATTAACAGAAAATTAAAATAATTATGTGATCAGAATATAATGGTAGCCTTTAAAAATATTTGTACCTATAAGAATGAAGCACTTAAGAGAGTAATAGATATGTATGCTAAGAAAGTGAAGAGTACACTGATAATGGAAATCATGTCTATTTGCAACAGAAGAGAGCTACAGTTGCTATGAAAGATGTTTAAACAAAAATTCTTTAATTTTTATTTTATTGTTGTTTTTAAGTGCTGTCAGGTCGTAGGCAACTCATAGGGACCCTGTGAACGAAAGTCCTCAACACTTGTGTGACTTTCATCCTTTCTCCAAGTTCACAGGGTGTGCAGAGGCAAGCTATTATGGAAGCTGATGCCACTCCTGCTTCCAAACTTGTTTTAATCAAGGAGCTCCACCCAACACTGTCCACCATGGGTAACCATTATTGCATTTGACACATCAGTGTCGCAGTGTTCAGCTTCACAGCAACCGCAAGTTACCTTTGTATCTGATATTTTGCAAATATCAGTTTGCAAAAGGAAATAACTGATGAATCGAAACAAAGTGGCAAATCCCATAATCAAAGAAATAGTAAAAGGAATAAAGCAAAAGATTTTATGAATTTGTATTATAACTGAACAGCACATCAAAAACAGCCAAACTATACTACTTATGGGTATCTCAAAAACAAAGCAATATTTATACCACCACAGTTCTATTTTTAAAAATATTAATATTGACTAACAAAATAAAGAAAAAATAAATATGCTGACCTATAAATTTTTCTGAAAAAATATGCATAACTTTTAAAAAGGAATCTATTAAAGCCATAAAATGCTGTCTTCAAATAGATTTGAGGTCCTCACTGGGGGGAAGGCAATTGCCCTTCCTGGGTAATTAATAAATCTACTCTTCTTCAATCCTTACCAGGTTTTCTCACTGCTGAACAAAGATGTTCATCATCTCAGAGCCAGGCAGTCAAAACCAGTGACAGTCTTTACACCTCCTGAGCCTATAAAATTATTTATGAAGCCCAAATAACCCAACTAACCCCATCCTGCTTTATAGATAAGTCCTATACACTCCAGCTTGTTACCTTGTCTCAGGTGCAGCCTCCTATGTAGCCCTGTGTCACGACAAGCTATGCCTCAAGATCTCTAGAAACCAAGAAAAAAATGTAGCTATTTTTTCTGGCCTCCCTGACTCCTTGATCCTCTGCTGCACTTGATTTACCATCCCACAAATTTATGATAGCAAAAAGAAAATCCTTACAATTACTTTTCTCAAAACATAAAAACTTCTATTTTACATTTAAGTAAAGAAGAGTACAAAATGACTATGTAAGTTTGCAGAGACTTAGGTTTTCCATTCATTCAATGTTGCACTTTTCTCCCTGCCCCCCACCCCCAAACTGCTCTTCTCTTTGAAAAGTAAAAGAAAAATTCTTTCATTGTTACACAATCCCTCCCCCAAGTGCACTCCAATATGCAGCCTTCATTCTGGTCATGACAGTAACACCTAACTGGAACCCTTATTCACTGTTGGTGGGAGTGTAAAATGGTGCAACCACTATGGAAGGCAGTGACACTTTCTCAAAAAGCTGGAAATAGAAATACCATTTGACCTAGCAATTCCACTACTGAGAAAATACCCTAAAGAAACCATAACTGCCACGCAAGCAGATATATGCACACCCATGTTTATTGTGACTTTGTTCACAATAGCAAGGAGTTGGAACAACCCTAGTGCCCATCAACAAAAACAGAGATAGAGAAACTGTGTCTATTCACACAATAGAATACTATGCTGCATTTACAAACAAGAAACCCATGAAATATTATACAAAATAGGTGACTCTGGAGGACATTATGCTGAGTGAAATATCTCAATCACAAAAGACAAATACTGCATAGTGTCACTGTCATAAAACAGGACTGACATCGGGGTTGGGGAAAACTTAAGAAAAGAGGGTATAAATAATGTATACTGCATTGAAACAGATGAGGGTGAGAACTGTTTAAAATGAATGTATGATAAAAAAATGAATATGTATTACCTTAGCTGGGGTATGAATCCATATTGCTGGGTTAAGAAGAATATGATCACACAATTGCTTCAGGAGGGGCATGCCATTCTGAAGATTACTAAGATACTTTGAAAATGCAAGGCAGAGTTCAAGAACTGCTCTGCTGACATGGGATTTGGAAGACTGTAAAGAAAAAGTAGTTCAAAGGTTACTAACAACTTGAGACAAATTATACACCATCAATATTAAAAAGCACTGACAAACAAGTTATGCTCAAGCTAAAAACATAAGAAACCTAAAAATCCTATATATTCTAAAAGAGCAATGGGATAAGAAAAAACAACAAAAGATGATTTCTCATTTAGATAATTTTGTGCAACCAAGGAAAAATACTTAACTATAATACAGAATTTCCTACTTACTTAACAGTACAAGTCTATATCCAGAAAGTTAATAATAAAGTACTTCATACTCTACCTTTTCAAGACTATATCCTATTACCAAGAAGCCCTTACAGGCAAGCATCTGCTCCTGCATGGCAATAGAGTTCTTCAATAACTCCATGATAAAAGCCAGCAAGGTTGAACTAGAAGAAAAATGGCAAGGCTTTTTACACTTGATTTTAAAAAAAAACCAAAAACCAACCAACCAATAATAAGGAAAAAAAAAAACACACAGCAAAACCATGATTTCTATGAAACACTATTAATAGATCTTTCCATATCTATTAATTTACCTATTAATAAATAAATACAGGTTCTTTTCTCTTAAAAAGAGTTATCAAAAAAACAAAGAAATGGTTAATGACTAATAGACTAAGTCTTGGATGATAACAGAGGTTTCCTTGACATAGAGATTTTTTACTCAGTCTTGGAAATTTAGAAAAGAAACTTAGAGAAAATATACGTGAAACTAAAAGATTAGAATGAAAATTCTCAAGAAAAACTGGGTTCCAGACTATCCTTGTTTGAACTGAGCAAAAAGCTTCATGAAGGGGAAAAGAATAAAATTAAAGTAAAAAAATTCAGAACACCAAACATCAATTTTGGAAGTGTGTTATTATCCTAATATAAAAAATATAATTCAACAGTGAATCCTGAAGATGTTTTAAACTCAGCAGATGTTACAGCCATGCTCCAGTCTCCGAAACTTGTACAGATACCCAAAAATGGAAGGAAATAAAGTCAACCGTTAATTTCTCTTGAAGGTTCCTAGAAATTCCCCTTGCAAATATAAAAGAATGGCTGGCAGTCAACTTTCTCTTTCCCTTTAATGTTTTTAAATGCCAATCATTACATTGCTGATATTTAAAAAGCAAAAAGAAGCACAGCTTAGGAAAATAACTGATAGAAAGTTTTTATATTATAGTAGCAAAAATTCAATATAATAATACTGTATTAGGGATCATTATTTTTGTTATTATAAAAGTATTCACAAAATACTAGATTTGATGTTTCCTTCACTTTCTAAAAAGTACTTTCTTGCCTAAAGATAATTCACTTAAAGATATTTCATCATTATCTACATAAATAAGTATTAGACATCAAGATATATGTAAAAATATAAATAAAAAAAGATAATTTCAAAAAGGATGAATAGAAAAGCATGCTTAAATGTTTCAACCAGAAAAATCAAACATCCATTTTGATGTAAATACATTCATTAGAAATTATAGTGTCAAAAAATCAAACATGGCAATTTGAGATGTTCTGCCCTCTATATTATAATTTATTCTAGAATGTAAAAGTCCTTGCATTTTCTAAAAAGAAAACTTCAAAAGGAGACAAACTGGCCAAAAGAATAACAAAAAAGGTTAGACAATAAATAAGGATGACAGTCAAAGAATTGTTGACTTTCAATTGTAGTATTAGGGGGGAGTACAGAGTGACTGTCAAAAGAAAAAACAAACATGTCTTGGAGAAGTTACAGCCATAAAGGCAAAAACAGAGACACTTCTCACTTCCTAGGGACATGTTGTCAGGATGGACCAGTATTTAGAAAAAGACATCAAGCTGGGACAAGTGGAGTAACAGAGGAAGAAGAAGAACCGGAGATGGATTGACCTAGGGACTGTACCAAGCTTATCTGAGATACTCAAGCATAGCAGAGACAGCAAGGATGTCTGTCACAGGATAGGACAGGATAGAGGTTGCTCATAAGGCTGCTATGAGCCATAGTCAAGTCAAAGGCATCTAACAGCAACCTCTTACTGAGCATTGCAAAAATCTTGACTGTCAATCATTTAAAGGCATCCAGCTACAAAAATACAAATAGAAAATATAAATTCCCATAATAATTAGCTGCCAGTACCAACTTTAATGGTGCTTCCAATTAGCACAACTTTATACTAAAACTTATTTCTTTTACCCTAAAATATGTTTAGAACTTCCACCTCTATGACAAACAACAATCTAAATTAATACTACTACTGAAACAGATTTGTAATTCTATTTATAGTTAGTTCACAAACTTTTTAAGATTCTCTTTTTATCCCATAACACATTTGAAAAGGAAAGAAGATAAACTGTTTAATACTGTTGAAAGTAATTCTCACACAAAAATAAACATACTCACCATACAGTTAAATCAATCTCATCAGACAAATATTGTCTATAATCCAATTGTGCAAAAAGTGGGAAAAGCACTTGTACTCCTCCAATAGAATGCATAGCGCTTTGGATAGAATGTGTTAAAACTGCCTTCACGTCCTTATAAAATAAAATACACAGTAAGTGTTCCAGTTATTTTTTTTTCCAAAGCAATGAAAAATAAAGCAATACTATAAAAGCACCATCATTAAATGTTTACATCCCTTATGTTTACAAACGGTACCAGAAATTTCTGTAATACTTTTAACTTTCCCTCAAAAGTATGGTTGACTTTGGAGAACATTATGCTGAGTGAAATATCCCAGTCACAAAAGGACAAATATTACATGATGCCACTGTTGTAGAATGGGACTGTCCTTGGGGTTAAGGAGAC